CACACACACACACACACACACATATATATATGGTGTATAAGTTAACATTTTGGAAGAAATTAATAATTGCATTCTCAAGAATTTTTCATTTAAGTGTTGCATTTTTGAGATCTCAAGAATAATATACTTATTAAAAGAGAACTTATATAGATTAAAGGTTCTTGAGAGTGCAATTATTGTTTCTTGCCAAAATATTAACTTACACTCTGTATTTTTTTTATTTAAACATCTCCTTTTTTAAAGGATATATATATATATATATATATATATATATATATATAGAAAAAGTTCTTGGGATGACCCATGCCCTTTGTGCCTCCATGAAAAATTGCACGTTATTAAACTTCTAAATAATAATAATCTATTAAATAATAGACACGAGTTAACGATTTTTTGTAGGCATCATCAGATTTTTGGTTTGAAATAAAAAAAATTTATATAACTTGTTTAACAAATAGCCCAATCATCAGATTCATAGTAGTAATTATTAACTACAAACTTGCATACAACATAACACCCTTCATAATCCATAGCCCAAATTAGTAGTTTAAATACCTTACATAAAAGATAACCCTTTATGAAGTCATCAAAAAACAATCGTTACGAAACTTTTTCTTTTTATATGCACAATTCCCTTTCATAATAAAATAAAATAAAATAAATAAATAAATCTCCATAGACAAGCCAACTTGACGAAAGCTTAATACATCTTCGTTTCTTTTTTGACACCCTCACCTTCCCCCGACTTGACACCTTGAAAGTATCTCTGTACCGCTACTTATCATTAACACCCTACACTCGCCTACCCATTTTAGACAATTCGCCCTAGCTGTTACCATGGTGATTTTGATTTCAATTTTTAAAACAAGTAAATTTCAGATATACGTTATTCCAACAAAAATTTCGCTTGAAGATGGAACGGAGTCCTTTTTAATTTCAACTCAATTTAATTTAAAGGATTATATTGAAGTTTTCGGCTCTTGTTTTGAAACATGAGACCTCTTATGTAGCGATTTGGTATCATATTTTTAAATAAATAATTATATTTATGCTCTACTTTTGTATCGAGCACTATTTTTAAAAAATAATATCTAAAATACTAAGGAACTTTGGACTATTTACCTAACCAGTTCCTTCCTATTTTCTATATATTTTCACATATATATATATGTGTGTGTGTGTGTGTGTGTGTGTGTGTGTGTGTGTGTGTATTTAGGCAGCAATAATTTTTTCAAACATGTTTGGTTGAATAATATAATAATGAGTTCTGTCTACCCAATTTTTAAACTTTTTTTGGTAATATTATTATTATAGATAATTTAACATAGTTCATTTTTCTTTTTGTTCTTTTTCTGACTATTTTGAAAGGTTGCTAGTCTCATTTTCAAGGATTTTGTTTTTTGCATTTATGTAACCGTTTTTGGCTAAATTCGGCTTTTTCTTTGTAGACTGGAACCAATTTCAAATCACTGAAGCTGATATCATTTATAATGCTCAAACTGAATTTTTATGTGTATTTTTTATATGCAGTTCAATATATGATACCCTATGGTGAAAGATACAAAAAATAAAAATGAACATTAGTAAATTTACCAATTATATAAAGCAACTAATTCACAAGTTCAGTTCTAAAAACAATTGGTGGCTTGGAAATAACCATCCAACTCAACACTTGGCTCATCTAGAGTACCCACATCTGATTTCCCCCCTAGAGCTGAGGCTATACTGAGTGATATGCACATAACCTCACCATTGGTCTCAGACATCATTTCTAAATTAGATTCCCATAAGGCAATTGGAGGTGACAAAATAACAGTCGTAGTCCTAAAGAAATGTGCTCCTAAGCTGGCTCCTGTGCTCCTGAGCTGGCTCCAGTTCTCTTCAAACTATATAAATATTGCCTCACTGCTCACTGCTTTCCAGCTTGTTGGAAGTTCTCCTCTGTAGTCCATGTTTTTAAGAGCTCTGAAGAACTTTCTGACTCCTCTAACTACCACCCTATCAGTCTCCTACCACTTTTCAACAAAGTATTTGAGGCTTTAATCAATGTTGAAGTGGTTAAGCATCTTACCTCTCACAACCTACTCTCTGACAAACAATATAGTTTCTGTTTTTGCCTGGTCTACCACTGATGTGCTTACAGCCATAACTGAATATGTATATCAACCTCTTGATAATATTGGCAAATCTTGAGCTGTGGCTCTAGATATCTCAAAGGTGTTTGACAGGGTTTGGCAGGCTGGTCTTCTATGTAATTTTCAGGGCTATTATTTGGTTTAATCCAATCATTCCTATCAAATCATGAAATGAAGGTCATTCTGGACGGGCTCATTTCCAGATCCTTTCACATGAATGTGGGTACCTCCCAAGGCTCTATCCTGGGTACTACGCTGTTTCTGATCTTCATCAATAATCTTCCTGATATCATTAGTTCCCAAGTAGGCATTTATGGAGATGACACTACCATTTACTTCTGTCTCAATTCTAAATCTGGCAGCACTGGCAAAGTTAACCCTTCCTGCTGCTCTTGAAAAAGACCTGCAAGCAGTGGTTAACTGGGGCAAGAAATGGCTCATAAATTTTAATGCTTCCAAAACTAAACTGCTCTCATTTAATCACCACAGAGAAACTTCCCTGCCTCAACTCCAGGAAAGCACCTCACTGCACCTTCTTGGCCTCATATTTTTGATTGACTTGAAGTGGAACAACTACATTGAGTCAATAGCTGCATCTACTGCAAGGAAAGTTGGTTCATTGTGTCATGCCAAAAGTTTTTCTTGTCAGAGTCCATCTTACACTTTTATAAATCTACCATTTTTCCATGCATAGAATACTGATGCCATATATTGTTCAACTCAAAGTTGTTGACAAAATCCAAAGAAGGATCTGCAATGTAATCAATCCTGACTTTGGCATCTCGGCTTCAGTCACTTTCTCACAGATGTGATGTGGCTTCCCTCTGTCTTTTCTACAAATATTTTCATGGAAACTGATTTGACAAGCTTTTTCCCTGGTGCTCCAACTACATGAATTTAAGCATGCTACTAGATTGGCATCTAAGTCCCATTCTTTTACAATTGAAATAGTTAAATCTATCACTTCTACTCCAACAGTTTCTTTTCTCACACTTCCCAATTGTGCAACTCCCTTCCTCTTATTTGCTTCTCTGATAATTACAATCTTTAAAAATGCAATATCAATCACCATCTTCTGTTGTCTTGGACCTTGTTCATCTTTTATCCTTTCCTTAATACCTACTATACTCAGTCTTTTCTCTTATTTTCACTCTCTGTAACCTATGTGTACTAGAAGCATTCCTGCCATGCTTGGAGTGAATTGTTAAAAAAAAATCCAGAAATTTGTAAAAGGTAATAAAAAATTGGATAGACAGAACTTATCTATCTATCTATATATATATATTTGATGATATATGTCTGTAGTTTGCTTGGTGGTGATAATAGTTGCATATTTCTCATCATCACCAGTTGTTGATAAAACCCAGATAAAATTCAGCATTTGTTTCAGTTTTAAAAAATGCCAAAAATTTAGGAACAGCTGCCTCATAGTGTGTAACTCATCCCCTTGCTGACTGAAACACAGCAGCTATGTGATATGCCACGGTGTCTACAAGATGCTAGAGTAACTGTGTGTATATATATATATATATATATATATATATATATATATATATATATATATATATATATCCAGGCACATTCCACGGCTGCCTGAAACTGAGTTATGTTTCTTGGGTGTGGCTGCAGGGAATTCAGCAACATATCCAATACATGCTCAATGGAGTTTAAATCTGGTGAGCAGAGTGAAGTACATGAATTTTTTGTTCTGTGCAGATGTAAACAAATGGCAGATATTTCTTTGAAATATATTGAATTTTGAAGTCACAATAGCTAAATTCTAAAAGTAGTTGTAAGGCTGATTTGAAAAATTAAGAGAAATGCTTAAATTCGAGTTTCTTTTAATTTATTTACTAAAGTTCACCTAATACAAGGTTTGAGAGACACTCAAGGAAGAGGCAGATGAAATGGTTATGATGAATGAGGTGTGTGCCATGAATGGAAGAGAAGGTGGTAGGAAGTGAATATTTTGAGCATAAGGAGGACATATAAGAATTGACCTTTGACCTACAGAGGTTAAGATTGTAGCATTCAGGGAAGCATCCATGTAAGAGACTGTTTTCTAAATTAGGATAAAGAGGACAGATAAGAATTGACCTTTGACCTGCAGAGGTTAAGATTGTAGCATTCAGGGAAGCATCCATGTAAGAGGCTGTTTCCTAAATAAGGATGAAGAAGACAGATAAGAACTGACCCTTGACCTGTAGCAGTTAAACTTGTAGCATTCAAGGAAGCATCCATATAAGAGGCTTTTTCCTAAAGTTCTTGGGGGAAAAAAGCTGTTTGAGTGAAGCTTTCTCCTTACATTTGAAATATAGAGAAAATGATGGTAATTTGATTCTATGGAAATAGCATGATGTGTCCTAGATGTAATGGTATGAAATGGTGGGACTAAGGAATGGAGTGCTCATCTGAACATTTGCCATGGTAAAACAATTCAGGAAATTACAAAAAAATGATTGGCTGGTACCAACAAAACTGTAAAGAATTTCATTAAAGATCTTTGATGACATCAAGTCTGATATGGTCAAATGCTATACTGTATTCCATATCAAGAAACAAGTTATATAATGGTTACAGGTACCTAAAGAAAACCTGGATTGATTTGTCTTTATGGCTTATCAACCTTTTGCAGGTTATTTAAAGCTGGAACATATTTTTGGATTGTAATAATATTTTTTGGAGATAATAATAATTTTCTGATACAAGTCCAACTATTTAATCTATAGCTGGAGGAGAAGATGTGGTTTCATACCTTTCCCACTTGCTTCGTAAGTGAATATAATAAAGCTGACAGGAATTTAAACCCAGCACCTCAAGTTCTCATTCCGAGACTTTATACATTACACCACCTGTACAGCCAAGCTTACAGCACCTGATATTCCCAAGAGGTCACCCATCTAAGTACTGAACAGGCTCAATATTGCTTAACTTTGGTGATTGGATGAGAACTGATATTTCAACATGATATGGCTGTAAGCCAAGAAGAAGACTGGAGGGCACAACAGCCAAAATTTTGAGACAATAACAATACTGGCAGAAGGTCTTTCAGATACCACCCACATTTAAATAATGATAGAATAATATTATGATACATTGTTAATACAACTGGGATAATACAATAATCCATAAAAGATACTGTTTAAAACAATAAAATGCAATATGACCGATAATACCTGAGTACCTATTAATATACAAAGATGCTACTTACAACTGATTGGATGCTCACTACCAGTCCTCTACTAATCCCACCTTTCCTTTTACCTCAGGCAAAAAATCTCATCTCTCATTGCTGAATAGAGCTTTCTGATTGACTATATGAGTCACCTGACCAGTCAAGCTCAGTAAATTTTATTTTATTAGGGTTAATTTTAACCAGACTGTAGAAGAGAATGTGGCCAAGCGAGCACATATATGCCTGGCATGCACAATGAGTGAAGGAAAGGAAAAAGAAATATGGCCACCCTAACACCTTAGTTTATGAAAGACAAGATCTCGAAGCTAGGAGAATTGTTGAGAGTGATTGGGCGTATGCAAATTTTTCACAAGATCTGCTTGGCATAAAAACACCACACGAAAGAGAAGAAGGGACGAGACACTCAAGAATGTGGTACTGGGAATACGGAGTGACTTTGTCAGTTGGGAAAGCGATTATTTGGTTCAGTTTCACACAACAACAACAAAGATGAGCCCATTAGTCTGAATGTAAATAATGATAACTCCTGGTCCCAGAAATTATAAAATTTTGGGCATTGTGGCAGTGAGGAAGTATCTCACTCCACAAAATGTTGAAACTTAAATCAAATGACGAGACATGTGAGATTGATCCACTGAAGTTTCTATAAAGGATGTCCATAAGAAAGATGAAATGAAATTAGCAACAGAATAGATGAAGACAGCTTCTTCAGCCATTCTTTTTACTCATGAACTTGTGTTCCTTTTCAAATAATGAAAAATGTTTCTTCTAAGTATACAAGTTCATGTGAAGGAGTCTTCCTTCAAGATATATTCATGGCAGCATCCCTACCACTTGTAAACAGTCTGCAATGTCCTCTTTTGTAATTGCAAATTACTTTTTACAAAATTGGCTGTTGCAGATGTAAAAAATATTCAAAATTAAAGTTATGTCTAAGCTTTTTGACTCAGGAGTTATCGTCAGGTTTGTGAAAAAATAAAGCAAAGGAAAGAAAATCAAATGCATTTTATCAGTGCATTGTTTTAAAAGTGTTGTTTGAAACTGAAATTTGATCCCAGTCTGATAGCCAAGGAGTGAAGAAAAATATAACTCAAGTAGAATTTTGTCAATTGTTTTAAAAGAAATATCAACCAACAGTAGCACTAGGTGCTTGGTCAATAACTGTTGAATGTTTCCTTCACAAGTTATGATATTTCTGGATGCATTTTTGAACTGATTCAATCTTTCTTATCTAATTGTGAAATGAAAGTTATCCTGAATAGCCATTCCTCTAGATCTTTTTGCATTAATGTATTGTATTTTATCAACACTCCCACATTATTTAAACACAACTGGAAGAAAAAGCCTAATCAATATTATTGTATGATTGATTCAGGATATAAAGAGTCCTCAAAAGTAACAAAAAATATGCCTCTTGTGCTCTGGAACAGGATGGTAGGTTTTATTTATCATTTCTCAGTTGCTTTTCTGTCTTTGGGCAGAGTGCAACTCAGTTACACCTCTGTCGAAGGACAGAGGCACAACTGATAAAAATCACACTGTGAGGTGCCCGGCCCTGGAGAACAGATGCCTGAGGCTGCACCTTCTCATTGCACTGGAGAGAAGGATCAGTGCTTGCACTGAGGCCACTGAAATCAACAGTTGCAGGGGCTCAGGGAATTTTTGTCCTTAGCTCGAATGTACACACTCGGGTTCCCCATGTTAAACCAAACTTGTGTCATAACTGGACTCTGTGGATTTCAAGTAACTCACCTTATGGTCAGTATCTGTTATGCAACAACTGACAGCAGGCCATCAGCAGCAGTTCCAGCTAGCTAGCCATCTTCAGTAGGCCTCCAGATCCTGTCACTCCACCCATTTTCAGTAGACCTTCAGCTCTTGCTGCTCCAGTTAGCTTCAACAGGCTTCCCACTCCAGCCATCAGTTCAATACCTGGTTAAGGCAGTGGAGAACTTGGAGAGGAGAATTAACAGGAGATAACTGATAACTGACATTCATTAAACATGACACATGGAACTAGAACAGTCTACTTCAGTGAGCGAAATAAAGGGTTCAGTTCAACATTCCAACCAGCTGAAGAAGGCTGGAGTGTACAACGGCTGAAACATTGTAATAAATATGGTGACAAAGATGAGGACAATGGTCAAAATAATGTAAATAAGGCAATACATAGATTTTGTGATTTTTTAACCAATGTGGAAAGTAAATTAGAAGCCCATATTATTAAATTTATGATTCAGTTTGAAGCTGATTTGTGGCTATTAAAGAAGTCACATTTGTTCGATAACGAGAAAATTTTGGGCATTCATTAGGAAGACAATGGTTGGTTCTGGGAACTAAACAAAAGAAAAACCAAAAGTCACTGACAATGATGATGAAAAGAAAGTTTCTGAAAGAAAAAGGATAGAAAGTAACAGAAAATAAGAAATAAATACAAAAAGGAAGAAATTCTGTACATTTAAAGAGATATACAGTTATTTTTCTATTGTTTGTAAAAGTTTGTCACAAAATTAGAGTTATCAAGCCTGATTTTGAATTTTTTATGAGAATAAAATGGACTATTGTCTGAACAAGCCAGAAAACCAATGATGCCTGTGAATTGCCAACCTCCTCAACTCCTTTTGACAGTCGAATGAATCAAAGTGAACATTTTGGTGATAATAATTATAATAGTTTTTATGAACCCGACAGAATTGTAATTAGAATTTTTGTTCAAGCTTCTTTTGTAAATTTTGTATTCTGTGCTATTATAATTTTTATGTTATTTAATAAATGTAAATTTCTTTCAAATTTCACATTGGAATATGAGTCTTGTGGTTTTTTTGTTTGCACCAGAATAAAAGATTTGACATTCTCTCCTCTCCTTCTTTCTCCAAAAGCCCTTTTATTATTGCTATTGTGTGGACTTATTACGCATGAACATACATACATACAAAGATACAAATCACATTTACAATGCCAAGCATTCATTGGTTAATAAAACACCACTACATTTCTATAGGCAATTTACAAATCGCAGTAATGTGACAAAATTGTAATCGCTCTATTTTTAAGTAGTCAATTTTGTGCACTTTTGGGAGAAGAGGATCACAGAAGCTTTCTTAAGTCTCCCCAAAGCTCGCTTGCTGATTGGTCGATGCCAACCAATCAGATCGTTTACATGTGAAGAATAATTTTTCCAGTGCAACGATTTGGAGCCTATAGTCACTTATTTAAGCCAAGATTTTCCTAATCTCAATTAGTGAGAATTCAATTGCCAAACGAATTCATGACAGTTGAAACCATGCACTAATCTTCTCACTCACACACACACTCACATGCTGAACATACCTTGTACACACTCACATAAACTCTTCGTACACAACAATATCTTTCAAGAACAATCATTACAAGAAACTCTCATGAATATTTTTCCAGTGAACTTTAAACCAAATAACTATCTCTCATTGAACTCTAAAATAACAGTTAAAGAGAGACAACTCTTGGTTAATTCAACCTTTCTTACTTAAATGCATGCTTTCTTTCATATCGTTGTTTGATATTGTACATCTTGTTAAAATACATATTTTATGTGTAACAATGTCTTTTATGTTATCCTTCTTGTGTGAACCTTGTTTCCTCATCAAAAGTTAAATTAATGTGGTGAAGTCCGCAACACTATTGTCACAATGTTTAACTTGCTATAACTTTCAGGTATTTTTCAATGTCTATAATATTTTGTAAGATTGTGGGAATTTCAGACTAAACCCTTTATTCAATCCATAGGGATTAAATTGTTCTCATTCTGTTTGTCCATGTTCAAGGATATCTTATATCTGTGGAGTCCATTTGTCCATGCGATATCACTTATCTCTTCCAGTGAACAAGAGAATATAACTTTTTTTCATTACTTAATGCAAGTATTGAAATCTCAAAAAGGTTGGCTGACTTGATTTGCTTAACCAACAATTTCATCCACTAGGTTCTGGATCACATAGGACTTTTGCAGTGATTTTTTTTAATCAGTATCACCCCATGCAAGGCAGTAACGTCACAAGGGGTTATAGGGTGTGGAGGAATTAGGAACAGAAACATTAATAGTGAGCGAGAAGACAAAAGGGTAATCAGAAGGACAGTAGATAGTGATTGACATTGCATTTAAATTTTTACAGATTAAGGTTGACTGGAAAGCATGAAGCCAGGAAGAAGTTCCACAAGCAAGAAATGTGAGAAAAGGAACTGTTAGCATAGAATTTATGGTTATACTCAACCAGCTCAACTGTAAATAGATGAGATGTTGATGCCAGTCTAGTACTGCTCTTAATTTCAAAAAGTCTAGAACAATTACCATAAAAGTATTCATAAAAATGACACAGAGAGGCAACATGATGGTGGGAAAGTGAGTGAAGCTGAACCACCAGATCAGGACCAATAATATTGCTGATTCTTCTTTGGATTTTATCAAGGTGCTCAAAGTAAATAGCATGGGAACCAGACTATATGTGGCAGCAATATTCTAAGTATGGATGAATAGTAGATTTATAGATATATAAGATAGATTCTAGAGAGAAAAACTGTCTTGCACATCACAGTGAACCAATTTTCTTAGCAGCTGACCTAGCAATGGATTCAATATAGTCTTTCCACTTCATGTCAGCTGAGATTGTTAAAGCATCGGCCATGCTGATGGAAGGCAATGATGGTTCTCACAGATGATTAATGGGGAGAAGTTTAGTTTTGGAGGTGTTAAAATTGACAAGCCATCTTTTGCCCCAGTTAATGATGGATTTGATGATATTTTGG